CGGAGCGAATGTGAGATACGCTTGGTACGGAATTACCGCATTATGCGGCAAGACGCGCCTTCTTCCGCTAACGAAACGTTTTTCTCTGTAATCATAAATAATAACACGCATATGTATATCCTGAAACTGCACGGACTCTGGATATGAAATAGCGGTACGATAAAATGCGTGCATATACGGAAATCCATAATGTCGTAGCGCCGCAACAATCAAACAACGGTATAATTGGAACGCGGCCCACAAAGGGGAATAAACTGACGCGATCACATCTTTCGATGTCTTGCAAGACGCGACTTAGGTGTGACGAATATTACGGAACGGTCAATAATTTTGATTTTTTTGTTCCAGTCATTCGTTCTATTTTACTTTATAACATATTTGTTTCCCATACGAATCTCACTCATCGTTAAGTTTAAAAAATAATAATAAATGTCATCGTTTGCGTTTACAAACGCACATATTAATATTTTAACACATAATAACATGCGTAAATAATATTTCACGTGTAATAATATTACAACGAATTATATTGTTGCGTGTAATAATATTTTTAACGTGTTTTACATGCAATATTTTGTGTTAAATAGCAAAGTTTAACTTTTTTTTAGAACCTTGAGACGGCCAATTTTAATTTAATTAGTCTTATTTTGCACGTATTAATGTAAAGAATAAACTGTAAAAATTTGAAACAATCCTCACATAAATGATTTTACGAAATAACTAACTTAATCTGAGGTAGCTATCGAACACACCCAGCAAACACCAAAGTATAAACGGTATCCCAGATAGCACACATAGTTCTATGAATATTCTTCTGGAGTGCGAGAAATCTTAATTTCGGAATATTCCAATCGAATATTCTATAAATAAAAATATATATATGGATTATTACAATTAGAAATCATATATTCATAACAAAAAAGAATGTTTTTAAACTATTCGTCGAGAATGTCTTTGGAATATTCGTTCAGAATAATTTTTTAGTATTCAATTCGAGTTTATATATTGCACATTGTTTATTGTGTAATAAACTCATGCAAAAGGTAGTAAAACCTGTGGTCATACCATATATAACCGACACGCTATATTCGACAGATTATTCTCTTTCGAAAAATATTTACAGTAGTGCCAGTTAAATGTTCCACGAATATATGACAAATATGTAAGAATGACCTATGGAATATTCTAAATATTCTTGAAGAATATTCTTAAAATGTTCATAGGAGTGTCTTGTGCTATCTGGGTATAACATCAATATAATATCAATGTAAATGTAACATAATACGCAGATTATATTACATTTATATTGGTATTATATTGATGTTATGTAACTGTTACTTTGGTGTTCGCTGGGCACCGCCTGTCCTTTAGCCTCTGAAAAGCAAAATGCTGAATATCATGAAAGAGAAGTGAAATTCAAGTTGAAAAATTCGACGAAGATGAGCTGGTGCCAGGAACCGCCGGTTGGCGTGTCTGAAGTCACGGTCCTAAGCTCTGCCATGCACAGATTATTACAGCTTTTATCGATTGTACCATGCTCCTATTGTTGATATCTTGTCGCCAGAAGCTCGATAAGCTAACCGAATTATTTTAATTCGTTACGCAAGAGTCCACCCGTGCATAAATATCGAACTATTGCTACGACGGCAAGCGTAATGAGTTCGCATGACGCTTAAATCCGCCCACTAATAATGCAAGAGCTATTACTAACAAAGTTATTTTTAATGCAAAGTAACATTTTAATTTAAGGGGTGAAAAATTAAATTACTTTGAAATATCAAAGCTTTCGCATAGTTTTTAAAATATTTATCATCGACATTTAAGTTTCCTTTTAAAACATTACGCGATATATTGAATGCAAAGTCATTTGAGGACGTCAGACACTCTCTTTCTCTCTTTGAGTCTTAGATGGATTTATTTCTTAATAGACGATTCAATACTCAGCTTTTAGATTAGAGAGCGATTAAGACTGATTAGCTAAGAAGCGGAATCACGAGACACTGCCGTGTCTCGCGCCAAGTCACGCACAGCAAACAGTAAATTGGACCGTGTATCAACACGGCTCCTCTAATTGAGAGTAGGCATCTCAGATTATCGGATCTCATAATCAGTGAGAACCGCAGCAAACGATTTCGAAATCAATTTAATCGATACAACAGCTAACACTTGGGTTATACAGGATGATTCTAGTCATTGGGCCGAGCTGCAGCTCTTTTCCATATAAAGATACCAAGCGTACTTGCTCTGTCTTTTAACATGACTAGAAGTTGAGCATTGTATATTTTTAAGAATCTGTATACATGCAAAGAAGTAATTGTATGCGCAACGTCAATTTAAAATAAAAAGTAATTTACTCACTCACTGATACGATTCGCAACAGCAGAGTTGTACATCGTTAAGTGTAGATGTTAAACTGTAAAAATACAAATATGATTATTATAGACTAATTATGTAAAATCGGAATTATTGTATTAAATATACTTTATATTTTATATTTAAAAAATAGGTATTTATTAAAATAATTATATAGAATACTGAAAAAGTCGTCCTTTTAAATACAAACTCACAAAATGTTACACGTATAATTTTGTCTCTAACACTTATTCGAATCCTCGTTCGAATCATTTGAATAAATGAAGTAAAAACACAGAACTGATGCTTTATTTTGCACAAGTACCAAATTACATAAAAATGTAAGACACTTACCTCACGATTTCTCCGCCGTTGTCCGATGCCTCCTAAGACTCCTCCTCCTCTCAGATTTCCTTGTTGCACTCACACAACTTCATTCACTCGCGAAAATCATCGATTGCGCGAAATTTCGGACACTCCCGTACGCGACGTGAAATACCGCGAAACGCACGAAATATTATGGCAACACTTAATCGAGACAATTTTCGATTACATTTACATAATGCGACGCACCTAACCTGCCTGTTCGGGTTGTGAAGAACGACAGAGTGAATTACAGCGCGAACGCCGAAGTCGCAGAAAATTTCTCTCTTTTTCCCGAAAATAGACCAGCGAAATCGATATAGATAATTAAAAGCGCAGTGCGTAAACGCGATGTAACCGCGACAAAGTTTACACGGTTTACATTTATATTTTAGACGAGTCTCGTGAAGTATCTATGTATACGTTGATAAAGAGCCGTCGCTTCGACATGCAATTCGTTTCTCATTACAAGTTGTAGAAACTTAATAATTAATCGAGGAACGTTACTTGTTACTGATAAAGGTGTACAAATCACTAGCGTTTTGTCCTTACATTCATCACGATCGAGTCTTGGAAACCGATAATGCAAAAGTAATGCCACGGAGCGACTCTCGCCACTGCTTGCCGGCTCGACGTACGGCGAGCGAGTGATAGCGCAGCGTCCTTCATGCAACAATGCCAATAGTCCGCGTAACGTCGCACGATACCGCGTAGGAAAAAAAGACAACAACAAACGTTGAGAGTTCGTTGTTCCGAAACTACAAAACTGAAAATTCCTATATCCAATATTTCAAATTACTCTGTTCAGTGACTGTTATTAAATTTTGCGTATCATTCTGCGGATTTATTGTTATTGATTAAATTAACGATTAATTCTGTTCAATCGGGGAAAATGTTTAATAAGTAAAAGGTGATAAAGATTAAAAGATAAAAATTAAAAGGAGTTTCAGGTATGAAGTTTTTTTTAATTTTAATTTTAATGAAATAAACTCAGTGGATGAATTAGGAGCGCGATATTACCAATTATAGATAATAATTACTGTTTATGATATCGATCAAGTCGACAAAGCAGCTAGCCTGCTGATTGAAGTAAACGATAAAAATGGTAAAATGGTAAAATGGTAAAATTGTTAGTTGCTTTATCCCTCACATTTTGCTAGCCTAGCATATTTTATTCTCTTTCTAGCGTTAGCGATTTAGTTCATTATAAACGTTTGTTCTCCGATAAATGTTAATCGGCATAAATATCCTCTGGTTAATTTATACCGTCAATTTAAATATTTATATTTACATTTTATTAGTTTTCATGGAAATATCTTTAAAAAACATAAATTTCCTATTAGTTCTGTATCCAACATGGATTATGATTTTCAGCGCCACCAAATACCAAAACACCGGGAAATTCAAATATTATGATGTGATATTAATTGTAGAGATAGCATTTTTTATTCTAAAATATATATTTTTAGTACATTTAACTCTGACTTGTATACGTCAACGTATACAAGTCGTATACGACCAGTATACGTCACTGCTTTACGGCTGCTCTCGCTGTGCATGCACCAAAGACCCGGCCCATTTACCATCACTGTATTGATCTACTTAAGCCCGCGTCCAGCAATGTGTCGCAACACCGTACCGTATCGTGATCGTGTATCATGAACAGTTAAAGCTTCCGCTACAATGATTCTCGGTTCTGTCTACAATGGTCGTAGTCGTAGTCGCTCGATAAGAATTGACCAATCGCAGTCGATTATTCTTACGACTACGACCATTGTAGACAGAACCGAGAATCATTGTAGCGGAGGCTTTAGTGTGGACGGTGCGCCGTATACGTATCTCGTATCGTATCTGCGTATAATCTTGATGCGCAGATACGATACAAGTATGATCCACTTGAAGTCGGTATTTTACCGAAAAATCAAAGAAATAATACGTGATACGGATACTGTCAGTGTAGACACGTTCCCGATCACAGGTATTGTATTGTATTGTATTGTACAAGTAATGTATTGTACAGGTATTGCTTTCCTAAATGTCGTGTCTTTTTTAGAAATCTGTTCCCCCACTTTTAAGCCAATTTAACTGTATACTTCGCGGTTCGCAAAAATTCTTTTTATCCACCACCGTCGTTTCATTTTCTTCTTCAATAAATAATGAAGGAAAATGTAATTAGCAGCAGCAAACTGTACAGACATTGTCTCCAAAGTGGGCAACGTGAAACGATACGAACGTATACTAGATGGAAAACTAAAAAAAGATACAGATACGGGATACGAGTTCAAAACTTGGACCTTGCCGTATCGTCATAATCAGCGTATCTGTACCATTATAAAAAGCGATCATGATGCGATACGGTGATACGACACATATCTGGACCCGCCGTTACGACTACGAGCTGCTGCAATTTGTATCACGCAGCGTTCGCTTGACGAGCAGATTACAATTAACTACTTTGCCGGCTTGAACGTAGCCCCTTTGAGTGTCTCACGCGATTGATTCTCCGCGTTTCAGACGAGAATTGGCGAGAATTCCACGTTTCTATTCTCCGTGTAGGTTGGATTTCCGTCGCGAGACCTCGCTGCATTTGCATAACGGTGTTTAAATATCAAGACAATCGAACCTCTGATCTGTGCTCTCGTGAGAAATTCAAGAGTGGCAATGGCGGAAGCGTGGTGCGAACGGTATATTATTTTAACTCCAACGTGAAAATATCTTCACTCCTATTGTTATAAATATATGAACTCTCGATTATTGACACTCTGTTTCACAAATGTAGGGACAGCTCTAAGAGAACGTCGCACATCGACTGGGACGAATATTTCATGGCGATTGCGTGCCTCTCCGCGAAACGGAGCAAGGATCCCAAGACCCAGGTCGGCGCGTGTATCGTCAACGACGACAAGAGAATCGTCAGTATCGGGTACAACGGGATGCCCATGGGATGCAAGGAGTTCCCTTGGCACAATGGCAAGCGCAAGAGTTTAAACACGAAACACCTCTATGGTACAATAAACGAATTTTTCTTTACAAAACACGCGTGAGTCGGTCAACGAGATGTTATTAAGAGCGTTTATCAATCTGTCGACCGTTGGATTGCAGTGTGCCACGCAGTCCTGAACGCGGTCCTGAACAAATATTCGAACGATGTCAAAAACTGCACGATATATGTCGTCCTGTTCCCGTGCAACGAGTGCGCGAAAGTGATAATACAGTCTGGCATAAAGACCATCGTATATATATCCGAGAAAAAAGCTCATTGTCAGAAACCCAGGATGATAGCCGCAAAAAGGATGTTTAATGCCGCGGGCGTCGGGTACAGGTACTTGCTCCGATTCCGAAATCGCCCCATTTGTTTTACAGTTGCGCGTGTCCCACGGAAGATTTTTCTATTTTGTCTCTATTCCAGGCAGTACGTTCCAAAGAGGCAGAAGCTAGAGATCGATTTCAGCGACATTAACTGGACCGATCTAGAGATGAACCAATTATCGCAAACCCCGATGGAGCTGGGAAATTAAAATAAGAATTAAAATTGTATCGATCACCATTTTGTTTTTACACAGATTTATTCTTACACGAATAAATCTGATTTTGGAATGGACGTGTATTTCATTTCTTTTTGTTTATTATTCTTTTATAGCATATAATAGGTACGTTTAAAAATGTAATATGTCTATTTCACTGTGAATAATAAGTTGATAAAGATGGTCTTTTTATTATCGTCGTGGTAGCGTGTGCAATAAAAATATTTCTTCTCATGTGTTTCTATTCATTTATTTATGGTGTATTTATGGTTAATCTGATTATGTAAAATCGGAATTATTGTATTAAATATACTTTATATTTTATATTTAAAAAATAGGTATATTTATTAAAATAATTATATAATATAAAATTCTGAAAAAGTCTTCCTTTTAAATATAAACGCACAAAATGTTACACGTATAGTTTTGTCACTAACACTTATTCGAATCATTTGAATAAATAAAGTAAAAACACAGAACTGATGCTTTATTTTGTACAAGTAGCAAATAACATAAAAATGTAAGACACCTCACGATTTCTCCGCCGTTGCCCGATGCCTCCTAGGCCTCCTCCTCTTCTAAGATTTCCTTGTTGCACTGACACAACACTCACTCGCGAAATTTCGGGCACTCCCGTACGTGACGTGAAATACCGCGAAACGCACGAAATTTTATTATCAAATATCGCGTGACTTTCTATCGTACAAATTACTCAAACTAACACCTTGCATTTTTGATTCGGAAAAATAGGATAATGGATAAATTACTTTTGAATTGACGATATATAAAACGCAACGCGAGCATCAAAAGCATAATCCGTGGTAAAAAAGAAGTTAGTCCGCAACGAAACGATATTTTACAATCTTTGTCATTCAATCTAATCCTCGAAATAAATTATGTGAGCGAAATTTCCAGCGATAAATAGCTGTTATTAATTGCAACACTTAATTCAGATAATTTTCGATTACATTTACATAATATAACTACGCACAATAAGCAACTTTCTCTAGTCCCTGCCCGTTCGAGTTGTGCACTGAGACCCACTTTGCTAAATAAAACAAAATAATTTGATTGAATTATTTTGTTGACTGAACATGTAATTTGGTTGTACAAAACGAAAAATATGTTGCTGAAAAGAAGTTAAATGTTACGACACAAACCAATTTGTTCCCATGGAGTTGTTTGTCTGAACAAAATTTATGGTTGAAATGACAAATTCGTCTCTCATCGTGTTCTAAATAATTGCAGTTGTTGCGTGAACTAAATCATTTAATTGAATATTCTAAAGAGATTCTGCGCATGTGTTAGGCTGCGTTCGGAAACATCACCTGAGTACCCTGGTATATCATTTTATCTTTGGGCCTGAGCAGAATAGCTGTCTTATATTCTTAAGAGTACAAGATAGCCATTCTGCTCAGGCCCTTTGTTGCTCACCGATTGGTAAACAAGGATAAAATGATACGCTGGGACACTCGATCGAGTGACGTTTCCGAACGCAGCTTTACGCGCAGTTCAGCGTAGTGTGCGGGAGGGGGGGGGGCGCATCATGATTCGCGCGATGCCTTGTAGTTCAAGCCTATCACACAATACCAGGCAACAGGCAATAGGAATAGGGAATAGAATTTTTGACGCGTTGGATTCGTCGGAAATTTTCGTTCAACCAATCCAACGCGTCAGAAATTCTATTCCGTGTTCCTGTTGCCTGTTGCCTGGCATTGTGTGATAGGCTTCACGCTCGAGGAGCGGGGGCGGCGGTGGTTAGGTTAGGTTAGGTGATTTCGTGCGGTACGCGAGACGGCGAGACACCGAGATGCCAAGAAAAAAACGTCGATTATCGTCCAGCCCATGGTCCAGCCCATGGTCCAGCCTGAGGACTGAGCCGCCGGAGCCGCATCGCGAGGAGAGACATATCAAGCATGAGCAATGGTACGTCGTTTTGATTAAAGACAGAGGAGACGAGAGACGAGAGGTCCCTGTCGCGACAATCCGCCGCCTTGAGTTCACGGTATCTTTCCAAACATGGCGAATACAGACTACGTTTCCACCGAGGGTCAGAGTCGGGCTAGAGTCGGGTCAGAATCGGGTTGGGGTGAGCGTTTTTGCGGTGGAAACACCTAACCCCAACCCGATTCTGACCCAGTTTGGTGTTTCCACCGCAAAAACGC